TCGAACAATGTGAACATGTACGTAGTCGTTACAATCATAGCACAGAGCCGGATTGGTGTAGACTCGAAGCAGCGATTGAAGCTGTCGTGTCTGGTTGTGTCTTGGTTTGAGGTTGGCGGTTTACCCGTAACCCGTTGGTAGTAGTATTGGCGCCGGGCCATTGCCGCGATCTCCTTGTTGGACCAACGGTTTGTTGAGTTCTTCCGGATGTCGTCACAGCGTTGGTGGAGGGCTACATGGTCGGGTGTACGCCTGCCCGTGGTTTTGTGTACAGTTTTCAGGTGAGCATAGATACTGAACAGGAAGCGCAGTGATGGTTTATCGTGGGCCCAGGCGGGTTGCGTCAGAGGGGTAAGTGGATTTGTGCTGGCCATTGAGTCGACTTGTTTTCCCAGGAAACCTCCGAGGTAGTCCGCGAATGGTCGCGCGGGGAGCAGGCCGCAAAAGTGAAGTAAGTTTGTTCGATGTTTGGGAAACCGAGGGTATTTAGTGCCCGTGATGATGGCTGCTGCTTGGATGAGTGCTGAGTTAAAGCGCTCGAATAGGAGGTCCAACGCATCCTTCCATATAGGCGGAGCCCAGGCAATAATGTTCAGCCCATATGTAGCCGTGGATAGGATGAATGTTTTGAACATCACCAGTCGGTTGCAGGGGTGTCGCCAGCTGAAGCCTAGAAGCCATAAGCGCGGAAAGAGGCGATACCCAGTGACAATGCTGCAACCAGGGATTCCATATGTCTAGCGAGGTTGATTCCTGGTACTCCGTGAGAGAGTGGGAACCCCAGGTATTTGGAGTGTTTCGGTTCGGCATGTGTGGGCGCCAGTTTCAGTAACAGGTACCAACGTAACTATCAAGGACCCATAGAGATGAGTACGAAACTAACGTACACATCAAAATCTCAAGCCTAAATTTCAGCCATTTACTTGCATTAGAAAGGCAGGAACACGTTAAGAGTGTCCACACACAGAATGAACAAGAGTATCAAGCATAACTAAGCATTCTAGATAATCATACTTGCCAATTAATCATTCTAAGCAATCATACTCGCTTAAGAATGGGTGGTACCAATAAATGAGATCTGTAAGATCCTAAAACAAAAAAATACTCACTTTAGGTAGAAAAGTACACATACTTGACAACTCAATTACAAGCAAGAGGCAATCTCTAACAAAGTATTCTCAATAAATGAGAAGAAAACAAACACCCAAGTCCAGAATATACATACGATTTTTGAACAAGGAAGTCCAAGAACAATCAGATGCGCATAGCATTAATCAAATCATTGAGGAGGGTTCAGAGATCGAATAACAACAAAGGGCCATGGGTAATTTATTAGGGAGTTGCAACAATAAGAGTTAAAACAAATAATAGTGATCAATCGATTCATAAACAAGACAAAGACAAGCAGTAAAAAATTACACAATTCGCGTCAAACTATCATAAGGAGGCACAAGACATTAGATACAGAGAATTTACATACAAATAATATCATTGTCAAACAAGTTACATAACACATAACCAAACCAAGCGATAATAACAATGAGAGCACAGTATGGTAAGGCATAATAGCAAGTACAACACTCATATCAAAAAGGAATTTAGGTCGCAAATCTCGCGAATCTGATCAGGCACAGGAATAATCCATTCCATGGCCTGATCACATAAATGGTGCACAAGAATAATCCATTCCACATAGCACACAAGAAGCATACAGTGCACACACACCGTCAGAAGTGACTAACAATAAGTTGGAAATAGACAAAGACAGCCATTGATGGACAAGGGAACAATTCAAACCCACTCACATCATAAAGCAAGTCTAAGATCGATCAAATCACGAAAAGATCACAAGACATAACTCAGTGATAGGAACAAACCATTCCATACACAACACTACGCATTACAGTTCATCAAAACTGAAATAGCAACAGAGGTGACACAAAGTGATGAGAATCTAAATTCAAGAAATCTCGTTGTACACACACAACACACACAGGAGATTGAACTAAATTTGCAAGACAGTGATTGACAATGAAAGCCGGAAAGCACAGCAGGCTGGTCTAGCACTAGACATCACACAAGCAGCGCACACAAAACGAAAAGTACGCATCAAGTGGGTATAGTACAACCGAGTACAGTTCTGGTATAGTCAATAAGGACAAATATAACAGATCCCACATACATACATAAGCAGTTCGGTACAAGACCACAAATGTCCAGTGGACCGAACATCAAGAGGTGAAGTCAAAAGGACCGAACTTCCCCGGTGACATCACTAGGACCGAACTTCTACATGTGACGTCACTAGGAATGAACATCTCATTAAGATCACTTGAGAAAATAGTTTCTCACATGACGGAATAAACACTAGTGACAATAAGTTCTCACGTGACGGAATAAGCACAAGTGACGTCACACGTGACGGAATAAGCTTGACTAACAAACACTGTTTTCACCCCTCATAAACACAGGGGACCAAGCAACAAGCTACCGAGCCATACAGCAAGGTCAACACTTCCCGCGGAAGTGCAGCAAAGCAACAGCAATATAATTGTAAGTAAAACAAATCAAAATTTCATTTATTATGACTTATTACTAAAGACGGGGGATGAAGCGCGCGCTTTCACACAAAACATAACCAGAGTCTTTATTAATAATCCACTAACACCCACACACCAATGCAGGCTTCTGGAAATGCCAACAGCAACCAGAACAAACGTGTACTGTGGGGGGGGGGAAGGGAATGCAGGCGCGGATGACGTGGAAGTCTGTCCAATGGAAGGGACAAGCCCAGGCAATAGTTCGGGCCAACCTACACCGGCGGGTGTACCCATTGTAGCGACAGCAATGCGTCTATAAGTAAACAAGAATATCTGTCAAGGCAATCATGTTCTGATGAGTCGGTTTGTGTCCAAATTGGAAATACAGCACCAGTGCCTATACCGACTCTACACAAGATGAGGGTAGGCATACATGACCAACAGCCAGAGTGCCGAATGCCACTAGTGGATGCGGAGCTCAGACGACGATATGACCAAGCAATCAACGATTGTGGTGGTGATGAGGACGACAAACTTATTCAAATCAGTCTGTACGTTAGTGAGCTAGAGCTCATGTGTTCTCGTTTAGGCGATCAGATAAACGAACCATCTCTCAAGAAATTACTCAAGACTTCGGAATTTCTCAAGATGCCTAAAGATAGTTTCTTTAGAATGGAAAATTGCGAAGATATCATAGAGTTCACTACACAGTGTAGTAATATATTCTTAGCTACGTCAATCCCATTGTGTCAGTGTTCAGCAATCCCATTGATGCAACGGAGAAAACCAAATCAGTACTCAATAACTTAAGAGATTCTGAGACACAAAACTAGGCACTTCAATGATCCTGAGCAGTTCAATAGAATCATTATTGATCGACTCAGATCGCACCCAGGAGACTATCTATCGGATAATTTTCTCAATGACATGCAGAATAAGAAGATGAACGTCGAAGTGCGCACAGAACGTGTGCACAAGACAATGGCGATGTTAGAGGAGCGTTACCGCAACTCAGACAAGGAGCCCGTACACTTCCAATTCCTCAAAGTCCAGAGGTACATAGCACTGAAGTACTATGGATTGCAATCAGTTGTGGACATCCTAATCAAAGGAGACAAGCAACCGGATGGAAGTGAAGGACACTTGTCTGACATAGAACATACCAATTTTCATACTATGACTGAGACACACATAAGAACGGCGGCTATGACACAAGCAGAGCGTATGTTGCGGGATCAGGCGCGAGCAGCAAACAAGCGCAACAGCGCACAGACGAACAGGCAAGTGGTGGATAACTCTACAAACGCTAACAAACGGCACACGCCAGATGATGGTGCACACAACCAGAACAAGCAAGGGGGGGCATACAAAGAAAAAGAAACGAGCACGTGAAGAGCGTGCATGCCCCTATTGTCAGAAAATGCCAACAGCGAATGTCCTGAGAAGAAAGCAAATCAAGCCAAGGAGGCTGAGCAGCGAGCCAAGAAAGTTGTGCAGATAGCAAGACTGTCCATTATATCTGGCAAGGTGGAAGACATCACAGAAGGGGATGAGCACTGAAGACACTGGTGAGCGGAAGCAAACATGATTGACCTGGCTGACAGACTCAATGTATTTACAAATGAAGAAACGTTGTTAATAAATGCAAATGATAGAAATTATCAACCTTTATCTTTACTTCCCGCACCATGAGACCAACGGTTACACATTGACATACAAATCAATGGCAATACATACAATGTACTAGCAGACTCGGGTGCACAACGCTGATGCATGAACAAAAGTGTAGTATCAGAACTATATATGTTAGTGCGCAACCGGGGTACATACAACTAGCACAAATGGATGCAAGAATTCAACGCACTGGATCAACAGAAGTTTGTGACTTTAACTATGGAGGTAGGAAGACCTCTCAGTAATTTGAAGTATTGGACTTACCAGACAAAAAGACACCAATGCTTCTAGGTATGGACATTCTACCATAAATAGGTATATACATAACAGGGTTAATCAATCCACTTATACCAACAGATGCAAAATGGGAATTGCTCCTCACACCACATGGAGAGGACCCAGAGCATGAACAAGAAGGTTTCAGAGAGTCACTTACAGACCTTCTGGATACCAATGCGAATATATCTCCTGATGCTCATTGCAATCTACCAGGTTCCACAGTCACTGTACCTGCAAATGAAATCAACGTCAGACAAATGAGGAACGCTAAAGTCAACTTTGTTCCGCACAAATACATTCCGCAAACGGATGAGAATGTGCAACGATGGCTTAAAGATGGCCACATATACAAACGCGATACGCCCACAACGGTGAACCTACCGTTCTTATCAACAGGTGAACATGACCAAACAGGTCGCCTCAAAAAAGTAAGAACATGTCTAGCCATATGCGAGATCAGTTATCAGTATGAACAAGACAAATTCGTGTTACCAAAAATAAAGGAAGTGTTACACAACCTACAAGGGGCACAGTTCTTTTCAAAGCTAGGTCTGGAGAATTTTACCATTTCCTAGTAAACGAAGCAAGCCAACACTTTTTTACATTCTCGTGGAGAAGAGCGCAGTACTCATTCGAGTCCGCGCCGTTTGGACCACACTCACTCACAGCACAATTCCAGAGAGCCATGGCGAATCTGCTCATATCTATCAGAGGAGTGCAAGTGTGTGTAGATGGCATATTCATTGCGAGTCTTACCGAAGAAGTACACCGCAAGTCAATTCGTGAAGTAATCAAGTGACTGAATAGCAACATTCTTGAGGTGAAAGTCACCACACAGGGACTCAAAGCAGACCCTGAGAAACAGAAAAGAATGATGGACTGGCCACTGCCGAAAACAAAAAGAGATCTGTACAAGGCAATGGGACTAGCAAATTGCATGCGAGACCATGTCCCCAACTTTGCCCACACAACGAAACACATTCGGGACCTAATGAAAGGAAAAATAAACCAGAACATATCCATGTTGTGGACACCGAAACTTATAAAGAAGTGGGAAGAACTCAAAAAAGCCATCGCCTGTTCAGCGACGCTAGCATACCCTGTTGATGGGGTACCGTTTCAAATTATGAACGATGCTAGTGATTATGGCATAGGAAGGTACTTATTTCAAGTCATCGATGGAGTTAGAAGAGACTTTCTCTAGTCCTCAAAAGGCTTGAATCCAGCTGGCACAAATACCAAAGAGCTACTAGCACTGGTATACAGCCTGGAACACTTCTCTGAATTAATCAAAGGGGGGGACATAACACTGTGGACAGATCACAAAGCGCTCACGCAAATGAACAGTCAACAGACGTTACACCTAATGCTAGCCAAATGGATAGCAAAAACGTTCTACCACCATTTCTCCATCATACATGTCCCAGGCAAGGACAACCAGATGGCAGATATGTTGTCACGTCTCCTTGAAGATACTTTTAGTACTAAAGAGTCAAAAGTATTACAACAGGCGAATGAGGCAACTCATAATAGCCAAGAGTACACCACCTTGGAAACGAACATACCCATAACCATATCGGATATAGACTGGATGTTACATCCCAGATTCTATCAAGAAGCGGAACGAAGGTTTGGGGAGCTCACAGTAGATCTGTTTGCATCAGCACACAATGCGCACACAGATAAATACTACACCAAAGAACATATTGCGATACAACAAAAGTGGGCGCAGGAAGTGAATGCATGGACGAACCCATCATGGGAACTCATACCTGATGTCCTTGACAAAGTCATTGAGGAGGCAACCAGCATCACAATATGTGTACCATATTACCCCAATGCCTCGTGGTTTTCAAAGTTCTTGTCTTTACTAGAAGAAGACCCTATGCTAGTAGAAAACACAAACAATACGTTCCTCAAAGAGGGCAAGAAGGCTTGTGGCAAGACCCCATGGAGTGTCACATTAGTCGCAAGGATAGGAGCTAAGTTTCCATACTTTGACTCAACGTGGGAACAACCTGCTATACACGTTGCAGCGTCAGAACCAGTTCACTATGAAGACGCACCACAGGAAACAAAATATGAGAAACGTGTCGATCTCATCGAGCAATACCACAACTTAGGACATTACACTCCTGCGGAAACAGTACACAAGTTGCAAGCAGATGGACATGATTGGGCTGATATCCAACAACATGTACACAAGTTCAATGACGGATGTATACCAGGTCTAAAAAAACCCCCCTCAAAAAGGTATTTCACCCTTTACAATCAATTACAGCCGCATATCCAAGCGACAGAGTCCAATGTAGTAAGTCGTAAAGACAACTGTATCTCAGCGTGCTCCCCTCGTACAAGGGGAGGCTTGTTCATTTATCGAACTATTCCTGACACTATATTTTGATCATGTGTTTTCCTATTCAGATTTACTCTGAACGGATAAACCCAGTTTCAAAATATAGTCTCTAAACCCCTAATACACTATTCCTGACATTATATTTTGATCATGTGTTTTCCTACTCAGATTTACTATGAACGGATAAATCCAGTTTCAAAATTTAGTCTCTAAACCCCTAATACTAAATAAACCCTAATCCCAAATAAACCCTGTCCAGGGACCTCCTGACAACAACAACCCCAAACTGAAACACAATTTGTGGGCCAGCTTTAAGAATTCGAAAGAGTATCCTGAGCAGGCTAGTGTGCTGGCATTTAACCTCAGAGAGCTAGAGGGCTCGGTTATTTATTCACCACTCGAGCTGGTGACTAAACATTAGGTACATGTAACTACCCTAATATATGTATATCTATAAACAACTGGGTGTTATTTACAACTGGTCACTGCGACATTTCCTGGCTCGTGTCTGTGTATCCTTATGATAAGCTACAATGTCATTAGCATCGTCAAAAGCATCGGCTGTTTCCCATGTTGGCACTCCCTCACGCCAACGTACAAGGTATTCCAGCTTACCCGTATCATCGTTCGTCCGATGTTTGATAATGTAACGGAATGCTGCGCCACCTTCATGTCACAGAGTGTGGTGGACCAACCGTAGTAACTCTACGCGAACCGGCTTCCCTTTAAAATCCTGGGGGGCGGCTTCGTTAACTTGTCCGTATATGTCGTAGTGATTTTATGCAACGTAGGCAAAATCGTATCATGCAGCTGGTCCAGCCGTTGTGCCTACGTGTCATTGGTCACGGGTTGTTGCTCGGGAACAACGTCGGTAAAATCTGCGAACGGAACATGACGGCGGCCAAAATATACGCTAAACGGCGCGCTTTTGTGTCGTCGGGAGATACGCAAATTCTGGTAAAGCATGGTAAAAGGTAGCCGTTCGTCCCATGCCTGAGGTATTGCCTTACAGCAGATGCGTATAGAGCGTGTTATCTCCGTGTGTCGACGTTCTGTTGCGCCCAGTACTTGCGGTCTGTATGGTGGTGAGATCTTATGGTGTATACCCACTTCTTTGACAATAAGAGCTACCATGTTATTAGTAAACTCCGTCCCCATATCGGTCTGCAGCTTGCGTGGGAATCCATGTTCACCGAAGATGGCCAGTAACATTTGAGCGGTTGTTTCCTTAGTCTTATCGGGTGTGGCGCGTAATATCGAGTATCCGGATGCGACGCCTAACACATGTAAGACAAATTTATACTGTCGGGAGGATGTCACCGACATTGGGATATAGTCCACCTGAATATGGTCCCATGGGTACTTCACATCAACACTCATCATTGGATGGAACCCTTTACGCAAGGTGTCCTGGCCCAAACACTGACCACATTGCCATTTGATTTCAGTAGCTAATTCTAACGCCCCCGGCCAGACATGTCCTTTCTGCTGCAACTGTTGGACAGTATCGGCGGCGCCGTGATGGCCTTGCTCATGATGCGCCTGTGTGAGTTGTGTCCGCCGTTGTTGTTCCATCGGAGTGGCATTCACGAACGCTAGTTGTACCGCTTCACTTGCCAACGCAACGGAAATCTCCCGCGCAGTGTCCAAACATTGATGGTATGGTGTGTGACGAGGATCGGCGTATATTAACCGTTGGGTGAAGCTCTCTGCTAGTTGGAATCCCGACGGTGGGCCCACTCGTGCCACCACCGTGTGGCCCCATGGAGTCTTCCCGCAAGCATACTTCGCATATTTCAGAAATGTATGCCGGGTTCGGGGTACTACCATGGGCTCGGCTTGCAGTAATGATTGGAAGAGGTCAAACCATGGTGCTCGAAGGGTCCAAGGTAGGCATACCGTTGCCGTGGCTCCATCTGTTTTGATCTTCCGTAGCATGCGGTGTATCAGTTTCCATGGCGGGTTCATCCATCCATCGACCAGCGCCCAGTCATGGTCAAATTGCGGTCATTTTTAGTCCAGAACCTGGGCAGCTGAGCGTTGTGAGGTACTGCGAATACGTCTATATTGTTATGGCCATAGA